TTTTTTTACTTACTATTAAAAAGGTCCCACTTTTTACAGTAATAGAATAACATTTTTTCCACCAACAAAGTGATTTCCATGAGCCATTAACCCAAACTTATAAGTGTTGGCTAATAGTTAATCTATAATTCTACTGTTCGAAGCTTCAGCATAAATGATCTAAATGGACTGGTGGCTATCAGGGAATGGAATAAAAGCCAGCAAAGGAGAGCTCTGATTGTCCTTTGAGGATCCTGGAGAGCTATCCTTGAAGACTAGTTCAAGAATTTACAAGAGTTCAGGCTGTGTTCGAGGATAAAAGTAGTTATACCAAATACTGACTTTCAATCTTGTTAGAGTTGAACACATTCTTTCACCTCACATACCATATAATCATGCGTGTTTCAATAAACTGCTGCATCTTCAGTCTTTCTCATTTTCATAGCAAAATAAATTTTAAAAAATTGAAAGAATGAGGGGTAGCTTAATAAGAGTCCCCCCATACATATATTTATATATCATAGATGAAATGCTTAGGTTAATATGGTTGATTTGGATCGATCCAGTGTTGCCTGCAATTCTAAACCTGTGCCTTCATGAAATAAAACTGGCTGTATACTGTATGTTACATTCATCTTTGAAGGAACTCCAGTGACTCATCCAGCAAAATTTAACACCATTTTAATGACACAAGAATTTCACAGCTCGGTGGCACAGACAGTGAGAATTATTATTGTCACTAATTTGTCTTCTTTCTGCTGGAATCTCATTACTTACATGTTTGAAGCCATGCAGATCTACAATAAATCGCAACTTCCAGAGAAAAATATATTTCAAGTGCATCCTTATGTAGGTACTTTGGCAAATGCAAAGAGAGACAAAAGACAGTATATGGTGAAGTAAGGACTTTTATTAGAAAGCAGATTTTTCTGTATTGCATTTAAAGAAATTGGGTACTCTTGGACTATACAACTTAAAACTGGTGATGGCAAATATGATGGGAATGAAAGGTAGATTACATCAAAAGTGGCAACTTGCATTTCTGTTGTATATATTATTGATGCTTGAGGCAGAAGGCGCATAAACATCTTTTTCATTTGAAACATAAAGCGGCATCAACACTGAAATTGTCCCATCCCAGTTTGCCTGATCCAAACCCAGCTGATAGTGAAGAACATTACCATGATCGGTGTAGGGTTGTTGTCCATCAAAGGGGGTTATCAACAAAACCTGGGCTCAGGACCACATCCAGAACATGCTTACCAGAGCATGACAGATATGGTCCGTGTCCAGCTCTGTTTGCAAAGCACCAAAGTTTGACTCAGTCCTGGTTTTAAAGACACACACTTATAACCAAGAAGGCTGGAGATAACATCACCATGTCCCTCCACTCTGGAAAGGAAGCTAGCACAGACCGAAGCAAGCTGAAGAAAGACAAAGCAAACAGCAAGAGCACATAGCAAGTCATACCATATGTCCCGTAGTGCACGTTGGGTCTCGTTCCTATTCTGATTGTCAGCGCTCTGAACACATGGCTTTTAAAAGTTGCATTTACTCCTCATTTGCCTAACACCCGGTTGCTCTCAGTGTTTTTCCTTTCACCTTTCCAAGTAGTTCTAAAGTGCTGGCGTTATGTACAAGGACACGTAAATACACAAACAAACCTTCAGTGCATTTTCTTCTGAGTGTGCTGAGCTGTGAACATACTGAACTGTGTACTTAGTCTCTGTATTCCACTCTTTGTCACTACTTTGCTGTCATTAATACAAGAAATTCAGCTTTATGCAAACATTCAGCGAAAGGCCAGGTTGTATAATAAAAAAAATCCAGCCCTGCTCACCACAGGACACCTCGATCTTTGTTTACTAACAGTGACAAGAGTTATTCAGCATAAAATACATGGTGCATAAAGATCAGAGGTTTCATTGGGTTGCGGTGAGTGTGCGAATGGCATGCATTTTATGGTACAAGTGTCTCTTTGCATATAAATGTATTGTTTTTCATGATGAGCCAGTCACTGGAACAAAAAACTACAGTGTCCGTGTGGGGGTGAGCAGAGCCCGATGCAAAGTGAGGAAGAAGTTATTTGCAACAAAATACCTTCTATTCAATAACCATCCAAGAAAAACAAAAAGTTTGATATAAATGAGAAACACGTCCGATACATGACATACATGTAACTGGACTTTTCTCTTTTGGCCACGTCAATCTTCCCAAGGGTTAGCCATGACATTCTCCGTTTATAGTGCAACATCGTTCATTTACCCTGCACAAGAAAAGGATCAAACCCCAAGCGGTCTTAAAGGATTATTGTTCTGTTTTGGGGGTTTTTGATGGCTTTGTTTTGCAGCGGGGCAGAAAAAGTGAATGAGCTGGTCAAAACCAGCGCGTGATAAGGAAATCGTGCGTAAAAAAAGAAAGATCCCCCCCCCCCAAACAACAACAACAAAAGCCCGCCACACCTTAAATGTGACTAACTGATGAACAGGTTTGACTATACTTGACTATACTACGAATGAGATTTCATTTGAATTTCTTCCAAGGGTGTTCAACCAGATTCCTTAAGAGCTGTGCTGTAAATATGTAATACTGGGCTGGTGAGCCAACATGATGGAAAACATAAAGCAAGAATGTAAGGTGAATAAATGACTATGTTATTAATATCATTTATTAGAATAAAAGATTACTCGTTTTTAATTTTAAACTCAAAAATGGCCAAAAAAGTGTTATCTGGCTATATTTAGTAGATCCTTGGTCCTGTTTGCTTCTGAACACAAAGTAATGGCACGCATCCACACCCACACATTCACAGTCTAAGGCACTGCTCCACACCCCTTTAATACTACAGTGGAACACATCCATGTTTCCCACCCGTTATTATTTACTGCTTTATTTTAATTGCAGCTGATTTCATATTCCCCATGTATTTAGTATCTCTGCGAAAGTCCTCCTATTCAAAAGGATCAAAGATTTATTTTACACAAAAACACACAGAGAGAAATATTAAATACAAAGAATATCACACTCATTGCCCAGTTTACTAACTGAGTAGAAAGGTTTCGCTCTCTCTTTTTTTTTTCTGAAGCTATAACAGCTACTTTCTATATTTTCCAAAATAAAGGCTACACATATTCATTTCTCAAGTCTGTTACTCTGACTGGCATAACCAGAAGTGATCAGACATTTAAGTGGCTCAAATAGACAACTGAATATTGTTTGTTTTTTACTGCGAGAAAAACCTGTAAGAATAATAAACATATGATATAAAGGTACAATTTGCAAAATCTCTGTGTTAAAAAAAACATCAAACAGAGGGAAAAAAAGCCTGCACTGCATGTGAACCTTGCTCAGTTTTGCACATAACGATGTTCACTACACTGGAAGACCTGTTCGCAGTTTGAAAAATAAAATAAAATAAAATAAAATAAAATAAATCACTAATCGCTTTAGGTTTAAACACCACCCAGCCTCACAGTCGGTATTAATTTTATATTATGGCATATTTTGAAGAATTTACTATACTCAAATCAAAGCTTGGACCCTCACCACAGCAGTGCTACAGATTACATTCATCCATCATCCCAGCCATCGTGTCACAGTCTTGTTTTATCTACGGCAGATCGCACTTATTCCCAAAGAAAATAAACGCGCTATGAACCTTTTGTTACTACCTAGTGCAATCGTAACCCTGCGTTTCTTGTGCAGGGCCATCTTAAAACTTCCCCTAACAGACGCTGAAACAAGAGCAGAAACAGAGACTACTCTGGCCCCGCTCATGAAGTGGCATAGCATATATTTTGAGAATAGTATTAGTACTAAGCAGTTCTTAAATTAACCTATCACAACCCACTTTCCCCCAAATGTTGGTGGCTTCTCTTTTACTTAAATGAACGGTCTTTTCTGTGCTTTCGTTTGCTGATAGGGGGGGGAAAAAAGATACAGGGAAGATCTATGCATTGCACAATGAAGAAAGGCTGTGTGGCAAAAAAACAGATATCAAAAGAAGAAATCAGGTATGACGAATGCAGGTTTAAAGTCCCTGTTGGACATTGCTTTGCTCCCCCCACCCCCCTTCCAAAACGTAGAAACAGTCATTGTCAGAGAGACTCGTTTCAGGTGTTGTCGTTACAGCCTCTCAATTAAAAAGGTCCACGTTACCTCCCTCAGCGTCTCGGCTCTTTACCTTCTTTTGAGTGCAAATGCAATAAGCCAGCATAAATTGCTCGTATAAGTTTGACTCAATAATTTACCCACCCTCCCAAAGAAAAAAAGAACAAACAATAAAACAAACAAACAAACAGCCAGGTAGGAAGCAGGACTGCGTAGTATCGGTGCATATCACACCACCACCACAACATCACCGAGGTGGAACAGTGCTTCTCTCTAACATTCGTTCTTCTACTGCCCAGTGTAGTGCACTTCTTTACTACTCCATATATCCAGTCTCCTCTGCTCATGGGCACAGCACACTCTTTAGTTTAAAACAAACAAACAAACAAAAAACAAATAAAACAACAACAACAAGAAATTCCAACTGTTACTGTGTAAATCCTGGGTCACAGCCGGATCAGTTCTAACATGCGTCAGACTGCGGTCAGGTCCAGCGGAAAACGGAGAGAGTCCTCTTTGAGCATTAACAGCGTATCTCGAGGCAACGGCAGCTGTTATCTTATTTCAATGCAGGTTTGTGGCTTTGTTGGTGTTTTTTTTTCCGAGAATTCTTTGTATCCACTGTTTGTATGAATGCATGCAAGCTCGGATTTTTTCTTTCTCTCTCTCTCTTTTTTTAGTGCATGTTCATGTTCAAGTCTCTCTCTGTATCTCCACAAGAGAATGATTTTCACCCAGAGTTAAAAAGCACTGTTTTTATAGACCATGTATTCTGAATACATTGGCGCAGATATTCAAGGCTATTATCCACGGGTTAGGAAATATGTCTTATCTGTATGCATGTTTGGTTGGGGAGGAGTGGTCTGGAGCAGACACAGGCATCACATTGACAACCTAATTCAACATGTCATGGGCAAATATGCGCGAATAAACAACTCCATGTGATAGAGTTGTTTTTAGACTGTGGACTATAGACATGACTGCTTAAAGCTACCACAGTACATGGCCTTAAATTGCAAAACTGTTGTTGTTATACATTCATACACGTTCAAAATACAGTAAAGTAACATAAAGGTCAACATTGCTCTTTCCAGATCTGTTTTCCCCAAGGTTACACGGGTTAGTTTCTGATGCAGCTTTCCAAGAAAATGGAATCATTTTACAAATCAGTGTACCACACCGGCAAAGCAGCTGTTGCTTTTGTATTGCACTTGAATGATGAATCATTACAGCCATTTGTTCTGCTACCAGGCCTTTGTAATAATGCTGCGGATGCCAAAACACTGAGTACATACTGAGTGTACCAAGAAACGGGCGGAGCAGAAAGAGTCGACTTTCTCAAAGTGCTAATGCCATGCCTGTGTCTACTTCTAAGAACAGTGTTCTGCTTCCACTAGCGGCAATTATGGGAGCACGCAAGCACACGTGTGCGCATGCATGTGCGACAGATTCCTGTATAGTAAGATCAGTGAGTGCGGCTTCTTGTGCTGAGCGAAATTCCCGTTGAGGAAGCACAGAGGAGGAAGAGTGGCGGACGAGCTGTTGTAAAAGAGCAAGCAAAGAGAAGAGGCTGTCTCTCACAATGTAAGAGACAGCCTAAAAAGGACATTCACTGTCCGTTCACCCTCGCACCATGTCCAAAATTTTCTGCTTCCTGCTCAGCCGGCGTGTCGCCACAGTTGCCTGCCTCGGCTCCTGGGATCGCCCCCAGTGATCTGTTTACACCCTCTAACCTAGCTTCATCCTCGTCTTCCTCCTGTTCCTCTTGGACTGCTCCTTCGCCTTCATCTTCAGCTTCTGCTCCAGCCGCCCCAGACCCGGGGCTGCCTTCTGTCAGGGGTGGGTGAGTCCTGAGAGGGTCCTTACGATCAGGATACAACCTTTGCTCTAAGGTCTTGAAGTCGGCCTCAAAAGTGAGGGGTAACCCTGACTGAGGGGCACCCAGCGTCAGACCCAGACCTATAGCAGCGCTCATGCCCATTCCTGCACGGTACACATCCATGCCATCGGGCAGCATGGACTTAATCTTGGGCAACCATCGCTTGCGGACCCGCCTCGCGTTTGTGCACATGTCAGCAGCAATCACATTCATTTCACTCTCCTTGAAGTTAGGGTTGAAATTTTGACAGTAGACTGTAAAAAAAGAAAGAAAGAATACAGCAAAAGTCAGCGTGGCACAAACTGCCCCCCTTTGAAACTTCCATTACTTCTATCAAGTATGACCTACGTTTGACAGCGTTGAGGACCCTGCTGTCCAGGGGTTTCCTGCTGGGATCACTAGTAGAAGAGCGAATGCCCGTCCCACAGCTATTGGCCAAAGTGTTTCTGCAGGGATGCAAAGTCAACACCAGGGGGCAGAGTCAGCAACAGGCACATACAGTAGATAAACATGGGAGCACACATAACAAACCGCATTGCACAACATGGCCACAGATGGAGTGTGAAAGTTGGTTTGTGACAACAGCAGTAGTGTTGGAGTCATACACACAAGTCAAGCCTAAGAGTCGAAATACTTAAACAGTTTGTTCATTATTTGCACATTTCTCTGCTCACCTGTCAAAGAATGTGGCTAAGAGACGGCGGAGCAAGACTTTGTGTTTGATGCCGGCACATAGATGACAATTCATCAGCTGGCCTCGAGTCATGAACACTTGTGTACCTGTGTGGGAAACAAAGAAAAAAAAAGAAAAAATCTTGTGTGAAACACGCTGACATTACAGCATTTTCCTTTATCTTTGAAGGCCCTCCTCTCTGCTTCTTTTACCTTTTACTCCACTTTGAGGCCTTTTTCTACATTTGAAGTCAAAGTTTAAGGAGATCTTTAATGGACTTAAACAAAATGGAGTCAGAAATTAGAGAAGAGGAACAGACGGTGACAAAAGCAGCACACTATTAAATGACTCTGGTTTTGCTTTCTTTCCAGCGTCATCCCTTCCTCAGCAATGCATGAGCCCTTACACCAATCGAGTTTTGGATTATTCACCACGACTTGCGCATTATTGTGCTCAGCTCTCTGTGAATTACGCTGGGAAGTACTCAGATGTCGTTCTTTTGTCTGGAGAGATTCGGCACCAAATCGATTTAAGGTTTTCTGTCACGTTCCTTTGTGGAAGCTGTATTACCTACACGGTGAGTTGTACCTGTTCTCTTTGAAGTGCCAAGAGTGTGATGTGGGAGCCAGACCAAAGAGTTCAATTTTTGTCTCATTGTACCAAAAAAATAAAAAATAAATAAAAGAACTTTTCCCTCATACTCGCAGAGCTCTGTAAGGACCATTTGGCAAACTCCCGGCAGGCAGTCATATGCTTTTTACTCCAGAGTGACTTCTGTCTAGCTACTCTTCCATAAAGACTGATGATATCTGCAGAGATGGTTGGATGGGTGCAGAGATGGTCCTTCTGTCTCAGCCTTAAATCTCTGCAAAGAAACTTGCAGCTTTATTTTAGCACTTTCAGTCTGACAGACAGAGACGTGGCACCGGCTTCCTGACCCTTGCCTGATCCGTGGATTAACATGGGTCAGACAATGTTTTCCCAAACAGCCTTTTAATTAGGAATATGAATTCAATTAAACAGCACTGAGTTGTAAACATAATTTAACTAAACATTCTTAATCAAATTTTTTTAGCACTTATGCATAGTCAAGTTGCTGTGAATGAGCAGTAATTCTCTGGTAGGAGTCTCATATCAGACAAAGAGGGCTGATTACATGCAGTTGACCCTTACATTCACTATGAATGAAGGTCACAGGGCTGTGGGTAAATTCTCTAATAGATGGTGCTCTTTGCCCAAGTCTCATTAAAAAGATTTCGGTAACTTTAAACTTTGACAATGAGCTCTCCATCCTCCTGAATTTATGACTTTAAATTCATTTAGTTAAATTCATTTTTAAATCCAATTTCGATATCTTCCAAACTCACTTGGTGTGTAAGCGAATCCTTGGAAATTCTGCAGGGGTAAGATGTTAGCATCTAAATGTGCTGTGAGTGACTTGTGATTGCTTTGTGCGTGCCTACCCGCCACCAGCTCCAGCTTCTCTCCAGGGTCCCCCTCAGTATAGAGCTTAGGATGGCAGCGGTAGCCTATCTGGCTTATGAGGCTTGCAGGCAGCGCCACAAGGTCCCTGCGGATCAGCACGCAGTTGCGGTTCTCCAAGGACAAGGGCATCGACGCCATCTCCGGCTTGTCTTGGACTAAAAAAAAAGATACAAAGAACCGAAATGCAAACTTTATTTAAAATCTCACATCACAAAAACACATTGGTATCCGTCACTTTACTGGAATAAAAACACCCTAAACAAAGTTGTTTTCCACGCCTACCCCTGTGTATCCACACCAAAATAGAAGCTATGAAATTTAATTAGTAAAGCAGGTTGGAGTAATCTCATACAAGTTTGTTGTGTTTCATGAATGTTTTAGAGCATTGCAGATGCATCCTAGACAAGTCACTGTGCAGCATCAGCATCTTTAGTTTTGGGGGGCGGAAGAGCGTCGTGTAGGGAAAGAGTGTAGATCTCGGGGGGAACATGTCCAGAGCTGAGTGTTGGGTTCTTATTCAAAAACTCTTTTTTTCACCCCAAAACCTCTAAGACAGCTTGTGAGTGTATACACATGCATTCTCGTCCTGCACGCACACACACACGAAACAAAAAGAAATTAATCCAATAACTGCCACACGCATGCACATAGCGAAAGGTGTAGATTAATCAATTTGTATGTGCAGACACATCTGCGCGCGTGCACACACACACACACACACACACACACACACACACACACACACACACACACACACACACACACACACACACACACACAGGAAAGATGTGCATGGTTCTCAAATATCCTACAATGTCACCCTGGGGTGCTCTGACTGATTGCAGATAGAATGGATTTCATAAATATGTGAAACCCTAGAATTTGACAAACCTCCCTTTGAGCTGCAGGATGTGAAGAATGAAGGAGAGCGGAATCTGTGTGTATGTGTACTCATGTGTGAGTTTATCACTATCCATAGGTACCCCGTCGGTGTGTTTATGTGAATGCAAACCATTTACACCTGCATGTATTGAAAAAATCTACACCAGTGTAAAAAATGTGGCAGAAAGCCATAATGAAAAGCGGTACGGTCCGGCTGCTGTAGCTGCGATAAGGAAGATGTTGTTGGTCACGAAGCACTTCAATCATAACTCCATAAAGCTATCTTTAAGCTGAAAGAACCCCCCCACACACACATGCACACACACAAACACACACACTGGAAGTACAACAACCTGCTTTTCAAAGATGCACAGGACACACGATGCATAAAAGATTAAATAAGGTAATTGGGATGAAATGAATGTGCATCAGGTTCTAGTTTTTTTGTTTTGTTTTTTTAATTTTTTGCACAACCTGTAACAGATAAGAGGTCTGGATAAACCCCACATTTAGTTTCTCCAAGTCCTCTCAAGTTTTACTTTGAGATCGCTCTGTTATCAAATTAATTTCCTCCATATGAGCCGAGGGCAGCTGAGAAAGTAATGCACCAAATCAGACTTGACATGACTACAAATTTAAAGTTGCCATTGAGACTTTATCAGAGTCCTGGACTTTGATAGTATGTGCTTTAAGGATCGAAGTGCTGTAAAATCAGGGGGTGTGTTGTAAGCACAGCTCCTTATGGCATGCCACTGTTGTTTCATATACTAATAAGCATTGTTAAGGACTTTAGAAACATCTAACACAATACTCACTCCCGTAGGGATTGGCTGAACGTCCATAAAGATGACTGTAGGTCTCCTCGGTGATCCCATCGTAGGGCTCCTCCTCAAACTCCTCATCCTCGTTCTGGTAGGACGTGGGACTGTCGGTTGTGGGCAGACTGGAAGCTCCGGGGCTGGACCTGTCACCGCCGGCTGCTCCTCCTCCTCCAGCTCCACTGCCACTAGTCCCCTGGAGGCTGAAAGCAGGCATACCAGGGATAGGGGTCCCTCCAGCTGTTGTGTAGAACAGCGGCCCGGCCCTCCCCAGTCTACTTCCAAGCTCTGAAGGCGAAGTCTTACTTGGCGTTGAAGGTACAGTCAGGGGCAAGGGCTCACCTCCTTCAATTTTAATCTTACGCTGCGGTATGAGCAGAGTCGAAGACCATCCCGGGGTCCCTAGAAGGGCAGCCACTGCCAGGCCGTTGCCATTATTACAAGGACTCTGTGGCTCAGATACCGTTTCTTCTAAGGACCCCATTGTCTGCGAGTCACAGTGAGGTGAGTTTGCCTTAAACATTAGGTCCATGCCTTTTTCAACTATATGCTGAATTTGGAGGTAGCCAGCTGTGTACATGACCACCAGCTGTTCACTAGCTGCCATTGTTAGCTTCCCTGTGTAGCAGAAAGTGAGGATCTGCTCAAAGCAAGCAGGTGTGACTGAGGAAGGCAACTCAAACTGGGTCTTGGTGGAGCTGCTGAAGAGGTCACGAAAGTAGAGGCTGCTGGCGGCCAAAACAGCCCGGTGGGCTTTGAAAGCCTGGCCTGGTTGAGGGAAAAAGAAGTTGAGAACATTGACGAAGACAGTTAGCACTTTGTACAAGTTAATCTGTGATTAACAGAGCAACATTAACATTTTTCTGCCAACTGACCTTTAACCAGTATGGATACATCACAGTAGTGTCCCAGCAAGCGCTGCTCATTAAGGGAACCCAGAACCGTAGCTCCAAAGTTTGGGATCTCCACATGGAGCAGCTGGGACATGATGGCCACAGAGTGGAAGGAAGATGGGGCTTCAGATATTCACTGCAGACTCTGCCGCCGAGAGAGGCATCTGTAATAACAAAGCGGAAGGAATCCAAAAAAAAAGGTATGGTAAATGCGTTGGAGAGGAGAAAGGCACTGACAAATGAAGGAGCAAAAAGCAAACGCGTGAAAGATGAAAAGACATGCCAGAGGGAGGCAGAGGGGCGAGAAGAGAGAGATAGATCCTCTCAGGTTGTTTCTCTCTCTTAGAAAAAGCAAAGAGTAAGAATGAAAATAGAGTTGCGATGAAGTGAGAACACGCATACAGTTGAGGGAGAAGTGAGAGGTGTGCGAAAGAAAGATGGATATGCAGAGATAGTGGGTGAGAGAGTCGAGGCAGGAGAGAGAAAGGAGGAGTCACTCCACAGAAAAAAAAAAAAAAAAACACGAACACAATGCTGCGCCTACTGTGCATAGAAGGTTGTGAAATACCTTTAGGCTATGTTGTTTTACATTACTTAAATTCCAAGAACCTTGCACTCCTTCCATGTATTGCTCTTAATGCATCCAGAACAATTTACCCACAGCATGGACTTTGACAGCCTGTACGCCTTAACTTTTCTCAGAAATAAACCCCACACTGAATGCAACCTGTTTTTCATGTCATAGATTTTCCTGGATTTCGCTGACACCGTGGCAGTTGTTCTCTTTCTCAGATCTAGCTAGACAACAATCCAAAGAAAGACAACTTTAAAAAACAAAACAAATAAAAAGTCCTTTTCAGTAACACTCTCCAGATATATTTGCACCTTCATTCCAGCCCTGAACCTTTTATAATTGCCTTTGTCTTCCCACCAACCCACACATACGTACATATACGCACTAGTTTCATTATTGAGCAATGCTGCAGAACAGTTTCCAGGAATACAAACTGAAAAAGATGTCACCGCCTCTCTCTCTCTCTCTCTCACACACACACACACTCTCCCACTTCATGCACTCCATACAGAAAGGCATGCACTGTGGCTTACTTACATAAAAGCCTGCATGCATGAAGACACACACGCACATGCAGTAAAAGCTGCACAGGGAAATTACTGTGTACTCTGGCACGCAAGCACTCACCTGGAGAAACAAGAACATGCCTTTTCCTCTGCTAACAGTCTCTCACACATGCACAAATGCACAAAAAGAGTGCTCACTCTGTTATCCCAGACAGTTCTGACCTGAGTAAGCCAGTCTTCTGGTTAAAGCACACCATGGAGCCTTGACACACACACACACACACACACACACACAAAACACGCCAGCAGCAGTCAGGACCAGGACAGAAGAGGAGCAGTTAAGAGACGGAGGGAGAGCACTCAGATGTACTCCGTCTGGTCGACTCTTTCTCTCACTTAAAGTGTCATTCCTAGTGACTCAAAGATGATTCTCTCTGCTGACTGACTTTTCTCTGTCTGTTTTCTCTCGGCCTATCTACAATCTCTATACCCTCCAAAGCCCTATTCTCCCTGCTAAATGTCTGCTCTAGCACTGTCTCAAAGCCTCCCTCTGCCTCCTTGTCATTATCTCGCTCTCTCTCTGTGTTTCTCTCCCCCTCTCCCTGTTCTCCAAGGGTTGAATTCAACAAGTGCCGCTGTAGATAGGGGGAGTGTGTGAGTGAGAGAGAGAGAGAGAGGGGGGGAGTGAGAAAGACAATGGGGGGGAGAGAAAGAGAGGCCAGAGCAGAGCAGAACCGAGCAGAGCAGAGCGAATCAATGATGAAAGGAGTGGGAGGCTCAGTGTGTGCGCAAGCGCACGCCCGTGCATGTGTCTGCGCGCGTGTGTCTGATCAATGCAGTATCTATACGTCGCAGGGAGTGGGAGGGAGAGAAAAACACAGGCTACAGTTACAGACGGAGACAGAGACTGGGCAGAGCTAAAGAGAATCAAGGGAGGGAGGGCGGGAAGGGAGAGTTGAGACAGAGAGAAAGTCATTTGAGGACAGTACGAGTAGAGAAAGACAATTAGGTTGAAGCAACTTCTGCTACTTGGACACAGACATGTATATACAGTCTAACAGAATGAGGGGGAGAATGACTAAGACGAAAAAAAAAGAGAAATGAGAAGCACATACAGGGGTCACATCCACCATTAATTAAGGAGACATCGAATAGCGAAACTTGTGAGCGCCCAGTTTGACGCAAGTCTGGAAAGAATGCGTCACATCTCAGTAAAGCAGAGCTTTATTAAACTCGAACTATAGCGTGCACAATGCAGTGAATCCTTAAATCCTTCTAAATGTAGAACTGAAAAGATTGATCGAAAAACAATCACCAGTGTCAGGGTATTTCCCATTATTCGTACCATCTTTGTAAGACAATAGTTAAAAAAAAAAAAGGAAAAGAAAAGAGAGGCTTTACTTTTGAGCAAGTGTTGTGTATTTTCTCTGAATCATGCAAGGACATCTCTGCCAAACACCTACACATAAACAGAGAGAAGTGCTGTCTTCACGCAAGACTATTTTGTATTTCTACATGAATTGATGAATTAAATGATTAATTTACGCCTCCGCTTCGGTGGCTCGGCTTGTTCAGGTGACATTTCTCTGCTTTCTCTTGGGTACTTTTTTTGGCCAGCCCATAGAACGCTTCCCTAAATGTTACTTGATCTGGATGAAGGAGGACAGGAGCCAGATGTCACTGCCTGCGACAGGACAACCGCTAAAAGAAGGACAACAGCTACCACAGAGGATAAGTTCCAGAAAGATGTGTGTGGGAGGGTATAAATGCATAACGGATGAGTAGGAAAATGGTTGTTTTTTTTTACAGTATGTGTGTGCATATAAACACACGCACACGAACGAATGCTGTGTAATTTTTACATGTCAGAGTAAAAAAATATAAAAACAACAAATAACACTAAGGAGACAGCTTTCTCGGAGTGCCGTGCTGCGTTATAGGTGACGAGACATGAAGACATCCTTTCAGCGCATGTCGCTTATCTTAAAGAAAAAAACAAAACAAAAAAACATCAAGCTGATGCTGAGGTTTTCTGAAAGTGAGCACGTCTCTCTCCCCCCCTACAAAAACTATCAAGGCACATTGTGCTCAATTCTTTGCCAAAGAAACCTCAAGTGGAGAAAGTTGCGCTAAACTGAGCAAACTTTTACTCTTCAGTTGCAGCGGAAATATGAAAGGGAGGATATCACAAAGCGTTGAATGCAGTGAGTCAGACTTTGGTTTACAGAGCTTTGGCCCAGCAGTGCGATATCTGCACGGCACATATAGGCACACATGAGTGAGCACACACAAAAAAAGCACAGTGAAACGCAGGAGAAACAAATCTGCAAACACTCTCCTGCTTTCTTACACACACACACACACACACACACACACACACACACACACACACACACACACACACACACACACAC